ACACACACACACACACACACACACACACACACACACCTTGTATACTAGTTTCTTAGTTACAGATACTTATTGAAACTGCTAGTATTTCTGCGAATAACTATCAATTTAAGTAATTGCTATACTGTTCGTTCCAGACTTCATGGAAATCATATGAATTTGCTTTGTATATCGATAGCTAGTTTGTAAGTCTTTTATAACAATATCTGGACGTTTTGTGTTTTATTGTAACAAACTCACATTACACAGCAAAATAGTCCTATATGTTTATGTGTCATGTCTAGTTCAAAAGTTTTGCCGATTATATTTTTTCCGGAAATCATATGTGGTCCCAAATGGACACCATGGGACAATCTGTTCGCCTTGGGAAACATCATATTAATATTGATTACATATATCAAGCGGCTACTTCTATTGAATACAACAACACCGTGCTTCTGTAAGGATGTTTGCTATTGGGCTCTAAAGGCAATGTAGTTATCATTCGTGTTTGAAGTAGTTCTGATCTTCATACGCCAATATGAAATCCTTCTTGAGGGGCACGAGTCGTAATTTGGTATTTCCCCGAAAGTTACAAGTTGATTAAGAATGTTGTCTACATCGAATGTTGCTTACATCAAGCATTAGTTTGCTATTAAGGGATAATTCATTTTTATATATTGTTCCTTTCAGTGACAAGAACTTAGACTTACCGTTAATCCCCGAATAAAGGCATTTATTTCTATTTTGGAGAGGCGTTTGTTTTAAGAAATTATTCAACGTTGTTCCTCTACATGTCTGGAGAACAGATCCAAAGGTTTTGACAAGATAAACTTGATTCCTTAATTTCCTTAATCCCTTTCACAGCTTTATAAACGATCTTTTGACAATACGTCCTTGAAAATATATCTTTAACATGATCACGATATTATGTTTATGGGAATACAGCACAGTACAAATATTCTATAATCCCCCTATTTTGGTGCGCTGTTGACCCGACGTTTACCACACCAAGCAAGTGCTGAGCTAGTGCCTTTCACTGTTCAGACATTATTTGCTATTTTAACATGTCTGGCGATGCTCTGGTAGCATGTTCAAATGAGGATGGTATTTCGTTCGGGTCCAAACTCATAAATCTTACAACATATACGGCTTGTGCCTGTCGATTAGTAAATCACATACATCTCAGTCTATGTATTGCATGACTTCTCGAGATGACAACTGGACGGTAATGACAATGAAGGAACCAGTCATATAGTAACGTTCAATCAACGTTTTGATCTATCTCCATCCTTTTCAAATTACCAGTAAATACTTTAAAATGTTGCCAGTAATTTATTTTTTTCACATTTGTGAACCGGGGTACAAAGATCAATTCCAATCTCCTGTCTGTATTCTTCTATTATAAACAGTGGCTGAGGTCAGGAAACACCAACCGTTTATGTGCATCAATAATTATTTTTTTTCTGCAAGGTTGTGACCTCACCATTTCTCAGAAACCAAAGCAGACACATACATGGAGATCGAAGGCCATTTAATCTAATGAAGAGTACTTTGCGCATGTCTTTTTCAACGAAGTATTTTGTTTGAAGCTTATATGACCCTATAGCCGAGTAGTTATCTCTTTCCTAATTACCCCAAAATGTCCTTAGTTACTAGGATGAGAAAGAACTTTGCTAACTGTGCAAGATCATCATCGATAGTGTTATTTTATGTTTATATTTGCTTTCATATAATTCACTGAATCATGTACACAGAATATATACATGTACATACAAACATTTACAATTGTACTGGCATTCCAGGAGAAGGTGTATATTTGCCATCATTTACTTGCGTTTTGTTTCCCTGTTTGTAAACGTGAATCAGGGGCACCACACCTAATCGCACAACAACCAGTCCAGCTTGGCTTCGGCCTGACCTAACGCTCGTCATCACCATTCTAACCACGCATGTCTTAGGTAAACAATAACCAAAGCAGTGAGGGGTCCTTTACCCTCCTTATTTGACTGCTTGTGAGAATTTGATATCTCACCTCAAAGTTGGTTATTACATATTTTTCTGCTGATTATTGGAGACAGAGTAAATGAGTTGGTTTGAACAACATACGTATATTTGAAGTACCTACAGCAGTCAAGTTTGAAAAAGTGTGTTTTTCACGTCCCACTCAGCAATATAACACTTACATGACGGCGGTCTGTACATATTCGAGTTCGGATAATATCATCCAGTGATTGATACTATGAGCGACGGTTAACAACGGTTTACATTGACACGCCATCAACCATCCATTCCATTGCCTCGGATGACATGCTTTGGTTGCTAAGTACCAATTCTAACCCAGATACCCTGTCGATATACCACAAGCATATTGGCAAACTGACAATGGATACTATCAGAATAATTATGTGGTATTGAAAATGTCCATACCGATCATCATTCTACCTCGGTATACATTGTTTTAAGTTATATTGTTCCTCACACGTGAAATGTGCGTAATTTCCAACGCTCATGAACGCGAAAATGAATGAGGGCGTCTACATACAACATGGGGTGATGATTGCGACAGCGTTTAAGGACGAATAGGTTTAATATAGAGACTAAATATTCCTGAAATTGGAAAAGCTGGGGCTATTTTGTCTCACGATCAACGATCCCGAACCTCTTTGGTGAGAAAAGGGAGGATTTCGAAAAGTTTTACATTTCTGTGTAAAAATGAACAGAGACTCTGGGCTCCTCTTTGTTATATTTTATAAGAATAATTTGACAAGTGTATTTGTCTGTAAAATATGTTAATGTCAGAGATTAGATATTAGTCCAGGTAGGTTTAACACAGGGTTTTGTCACAAAATATGATTAATGACCACTGTTCATGTGTGAGCACATACGTTCGTATTAAGGCCAATTATTTTCAAGTGCAGGTGAACACGTTTGAAGTCAAAACGTATAACCCACGGCGCATATCTGTTTTTGTCATAGCAATATGACTGTTGTACAACCCAACAGTGGCTTCTTCTTGAGTGGACGCAGTGGCCAGTATTTAGTGTCCATTGACTTAGTACAGTGGGAAGACTAGAAAGACAGTCGAGCGACCATCAGAAACCAAGATAGCCTGGTCACCACCAATAGTATGCACAGTAAAAGCAAAGATTGCTTTTTCCGTAATAACCAGACTATTCCGGGGTAAATACATTGATTGCATGCGTACTTGTATTATTTATATATATTATACTTTTATTCAATTTGTATATTATAAATTCTATATGTGTCTATCTTCTTAGATACTTCTTGTACAAGTGGTATGTGGGAATGCATATTATTGCGTGGGTAGCAAAACAAAGATGACACCTTTTGTTCTTGGTAATAATCACGTCTGACTGGGTTTGGGAGTATGGTAAGTGTGAAGTCCCGTTTTCAGTGCAGTTGGCCCACAGTTATTAAACATAAATGGTAATGTGGTAGTTCGCCTGCACGCATTTAGAACCCATCTGTGACGTCATTCTAGTGTTTGAACGCTCCATTATATTTCAGGAATGTGCAGTTGTTTGTCAGGCATACATTCTGTTGAAGCAACATTTCAATTGATTTACACTTGGACTAAACAAAACTGATTTTGTTAATATCTTGACGATTGAATGATTTAAAAATTTGGTTTCAGGTTTGAACCCGCATCGTTTGATATAAGACGTTCTGATTATCCCATGACGGTATGGTGTGAAATGGACTATTAAAAAGAAAATATTTGCGTAATCCTTAAAAACTAAAACAATACTTTGGCAATAATGGTGTATTACAGCAGGTTACCTTCAACAATGTACGTATTTAAAGCAATTTTTAGAAACACGTTCGACGAGAAAAAAATCAGTTAAACATTGTTCTCCTATAATCCCCGTCATCATGTTGGATATCATTCGATGCTAGAAGTGTGCGATGGTTTAGAGGTAGGGCTTTCGCCCAGAGAGCGGAAGGTCTTGGTTTGATCCCCGGCCGCGTCATACCAAAAAAATAGAAGATGGTACTATTTCTAACCTGCCTGGCGCCCAGCGTTGAGGGGCTAAAAGAAGGACTGATCGGTTTGGAGTAAGTATGCTGTGTCTGAGTGGAGTATTCATGTTGAACTTCAGCATGATATCTCAGTGGGGTAGCACAATAAAATCGGCACGCACGAACGCAAGCACGCAAAGTATCAACGCTAATAACAACAGGATCTCCAAATTACAGCACAAATTACACTCAAATAACATATTCGAACAAAAGATTTATTATCTTCACGAGACTGTCCCATGGATTACTATTTACAACAAGTGGAGTGAAAAACAATGTAGACGTATATTCAAACGATGCAAATCATAAATATAAATTTTCAAGCTTAATAGTGAGATAAGCAAGAGAAGTTATGCTCTCGGGGCTTGGCATGATCAGCCGATTGATAGGACCCGGCCCATGCAGACATGCATGTTTCAAAAGCTCCATAAACATCCGTACAAAGAGAGATATGTAAATAATATATTTATTGTACCACCAAAGGGCTTTCTCTATATTCTCAGAAATATTTGAGATAAATGAAAGTAATACAATGTGGATTCTCAAAATATCGAAGGATTGGCTCGACCTTTTGCCTACTCAGAAAATAACTGAATACAATTTTAGCAAAGATTTGTACACAACTATCCCCATGACAAAAATAATGTAACACTTCACTCCTTGAGGCTTTTGGTACAACACGTGGAGATTCAGAGGGATAAAAACACTCTCCACATTACTGTGTGACAAGATATGTCAACTCACATTTCACATTTTTTAAAGTACAACATAACATGATCTTTCTTTAAAAAATTCACAGAGGGTCATAGGCATGGTCAGTCGTCAATGTACATGTACATGTTTAGGAAGTAATCCCTATATATCAGGTATGTACCTTCTTTTGTACTTTAGTTTACTTATGTGACGTCACATTAAACCAATCCTTCCAGAAATCTTAGAACAATCTTTGCATATGTTTGTTGATATTATACACATTTGTTTCAGTTGGTAGGCTGCGGTCCAAGAAGTTCACATATTGAACTATGACCCTGTTCTGTGGCGATATTAGTAGCTTTTGATCCATCATGGTTCATGGCATTAATGTCAACAACATTGTGTGACAGGATGTGCTGCACTATGCTTTCACTTCCTCCTAAACATCCCAAATGAAGGATGTTGTTACCACTGGCATCAATGCTTGACAGATTAGCCCCTTCACTCACAAGTAAGCTGAACACTTCTTTATGTCCACTCACTGCTGCCATCATTACTGGTGTCCTACTGGATTGTCCCTTGCTGTCGATGTCAACAATGTGTTTGGAGAGGATATACTTTGCTATCACCTTACACCCCCAGAGACATGCTAGATGAAGAATGTTGTTACCATTGTCATCTACGTGTGACAGATCAGCTTCTCTGCGCACAAGAAAATCAAACACGAGCATGTGTCTAACATCAAGTGAGATCATCACTGGAGTCATGCCATGTTTCCCTTTACAATTGATGTCTACAATGTTCTTTTTCAGGATATACTGCACTACCTCCAGGTGTCCCCCAATGCACGCATTATGAAGTATGTTGTTACCATCATTGTCTGTTAGTGATGCATCAGCTCCTTTGCTCAAAAGTAAGTCAATAACGTCACTCTGGTGCCACCATGTTGCCCACATCAAAGCTGTTCCCCCATTCTGTCCCCTACTGTTGATGTCCACACTATCTTTGGCAAGTAGATCTGTCACCATTTTTACATTCCCGCTAGAACAGGTCAAATGAAGAATGTTGTTTTCATTATCATCGACATGTGACAGTTCAGCTCCTTTGTGCACAAGTAAATTAAACATGTGTCGGTGATCAATCTCTACTGAGATCATCACTGGAGTCATGCCATGTTTCCCTTTACTGTTAATGTCTATAATAGTCCTTTTCAGGATATACTGCACTACGTCCAGGTGTCCCCCAATGCACGCATAATGAAGTATGTTGTTATTGTCATCATCTACGAGTGATGCATCACATTGACTATTCAACAGAGTCTTTAAAACATGTTTGTGTCCCATACGCGCTGCAGCCATCATTGGCGTCCTCCCACAATGGCCTCTACTGTTTATCCCAACAGTCTCCTTCACCAGAATTGACTTCACTAACTTCAAGTCTCCTCCAAGACAGGCTACGTGGAGGATATTGTTACCAGAGTCGTCAATCATCTCCTCGTCACATCCCTTGCTCACAAGAAAATCAAACACGCCTCTTTGTCCATACCTTGCCGCAGCCATCAGTGGTGTCCAGCCATACAGACCACTCGTGTTGATGTTTGTGAGACGCTTAGACAAGACATGTCTAACTTCATCAACGTTTCCACGTTTGCAGGCGATATGTAGATCAGTGTCATCTCTTTCTAGTTGACTACTGTGAGATTTAACTGTAACAGTAGAGGCGTCACATATTTTGTAAATCTTAAATAGCATTGAATGGCACTTTTAGCAGAAAACAAAATAACGGAACAACACACAAACATTATTAATTACATATGAATAAAAGCAGAACCATATACAATCTTCGTGTTTCATAATATTGGATCAGGATAATCTTTCTTAAATATGCTGTTATATATATTCCGAATGGAAATTGAACACTAACGGCAGTTAAGTATTTACACTGTAACAAAAACTCTTATCTTAAAACACGTTTGACTCACTTGCTAATAAATCTTGCCCTTCTGGGTCTGGTACTTCTGATAAATAGAAGGAAATGTCTATTAGATTATACTCCAACACACTCCTTTGACTTGTGCAACTTCTAGAGCAGAAGTTCAAAAGAGAATGCCAACAATTTCTGGAAGTCAACTGTTTTCCCAAAATATCTGTTTACACTTGCTCCAGTCTTTAGCCTAAATTAATAGCTTATGATTGACTGTTATGTTGGATGTAAAACATACGCTCTATTAAAGAAACGTGGAAAACTAAACATGAAATGATAGTTGTGAAAAAACAAGACCCCCACTCTCTTCTATGTATATCTACTGAACCACCGTTTCAGCCTCCAGTACAATACTTACCCCTCTTTCTGCATCTGTAAAGACGGAAGTTATAGTTCAATTGTGCATGTATTTTCTACAGGATATTGGCGCCTTGATTGATCCTCATCAAATGGGTAACCTTTGAACTAAACATATCAATTCATCTGATCTAGCCATATAAGAGTCATCAAATATTTTTTACCAAAACGATACTACAGTAGCTTCATGGATTGGTCGTTTCCCTATATAACATGCCTAATGCTCGGCTCATACCGCATAACCGGTACCTGATGGGCAACATCATACTTCGTTAAAAGCATATATTTTGCACCACTTCAATAAGAGTCCTATTGTACAAATAGAAATAGGTTTTATTGAATCTGTTGAGGCTGGAATTTTACTAACAACCTCAGCAATTAGCTGGCCATACAACTACAGTAATCTCGCTGTGAATCAATTTAGGTGTTCGTTGTTCAATACCTTCAATATTTCCTTCAATACACACATATATATATATATAAATGGTGTCTTGATTAACTCTCTTTTCGTGAAAAACATATTGCCCAATGCTTAAGATACTCTCAAAACTAAGTTCTGCTTGATTGAAACTACGGGTGTAAGAATGTGATTCAAGCGTTATACTGACAGGCGAAATCACAACATTTTGGCTAAAACATGCTCGAGCATACAATATTATGGCCAAAGTATGGCTTTATATTTCTTTGGTCACAAGCCTTCCTTCATATGCCTTAGATACACTCTTATTATTCTCATTTGAATACTTCCTTCATGATAAATCATAAATAATGACAAACCACTATTCTGGATACTTGTACGTATCCTTAACTCCCTTCTGGACATTCAAACGGGGAAGTTGTATTTCCTAACTTCTTGCACCAACAATTACAGGATGCGCGTAACAATATAACCTTGCCATAATCCACTCACTCTAGGCAGGTCATAACAAACTTGTCACACATTGTTTGTTAGATGTCTGTTTGTTTTGTTTCGTTTCATGTGGCACGGATCGAAGTAGGAATATCAATTTTAATTTGTCACTTCTGAAACATATGATTGATGGCAGAACCTACCTCTTCAAGATAATCACTGTGCAGATAGAGGCCACAAGGACAAGTACTGTGACGACAACAACAGGAATGATGACTCGGGTATCAACACTCTCTACACTTGATCTGGTTGTTAGAGCCACTCTCGTGGTTTCGGTTGTTTGACTTCCATTGGTTTTACCTGGCATGGATAATGATAAACACATTAATGATTGAACATATACATTGTATATCGTGGCGTGTCAGCGTAATGTGGGAGGAAAGCCCGAAGTGATGCAGGTCTCAGACGTTTACCACTTCGGTGAAACCCACGAGCACGGGTATGGTGACAAACATAGAAACATAATCGGGGCGAACCGGAATTCGAACCCACAATCATAGGTTTCTGGCGTGCCCAAGGGAAAGCACCTTTGCACAGCGAATCGCGGCGCCTTAGACGACTAGGCCACCCGTGCCCCCTAAATGCGATAGATTTTTACATATTTGGTAGAACATCAGTAAATTATCCTACACATATCTGTATCTGTTTATCACCATTGTACAAGTTACGGAAGGTGAGGTGTACTCTTTGGGAGCAGTGTGTCACATTCCAGACAAACACACGTCTGTGTGTCATGGTAGAATGTAACTTATCCACACATCTTACCAAAATTTAATAAATGATACTCAGAACATTTTTTTCACGTTATACTTGTTTAACAATTTATGATTACCTTTTAGGCCAGGAATTGTTTCTGTAAAATATAGATAAAGAGATAATGAAACACAACTGTTAATATCAAGTATTTGAGCAAAGATATGTATCGACGACAAACACTCTATGCAAGATGGTTTATGTACTTAAAACGTAACACCAAACCACCACCCATATTCTGTACGTGCATCATGTAGTAGCACACATACGTGCGCACTGTGTCCTTTCTCATTTTTGCACTTCCAACTATTATTTCTGTCAATCTTATTGATTCTGCTTATCACACAGTATAGGTTACCTTGTTTTCATTCATTGTGGCTGAGCTAGCGATGCGGCGAACACGTCTGAATGTTTGACAAATCGTGGCGGCATTACATGCTACTGATCCAAAATGTCAACTTTATATATCCCATCTTACCCATTGTTGTCATTCAAGATGTCATAACATCTGCTTTCATACTGCACTCCCGGCTGTTACTAATATGTCGTACAATATGTTGAAAATATAAGATATTTCCGAGTATGCCCTATCTTTCGTATTGTATATTACAACATTACAGGATATATACGATATAACAGGAAGGTGGTGAAAATGAAATATATATCTTAGATTTCGTAAATGGTATTTGGTAACTTTTAGCTCATCGTCTAATAACTATCATATTACCTTGTTTAATCTCACAAAAGTCCCCAATGTTATTTCCACTACACCCCACACTGCAGTGCCCGTTGTGCTGATTACAGATGTGTAGTTCGCAATTCCTGCTACAGGGCTGATTACACAGATCTCCATAGAAACCATCCTTGCATCCTTCAAAGCATTTTCCACCATCTCGTTTACACTGCTTTAAGGTATTTGGAGGAACATGACAGTTTTCAGGACAATCTAGTTTGCAATTATCCCCATATTTTCCTGGCAAACATCCACCTTCACCATGTACAGTCACACCTGAAATGTATTAAAAAGTGATGTTTTTTCTACACTTTGTGTAAAACAACTTTGATATGTGGATTAAGAAAAGCGCAAATAACAGGCTTGAGATTTGTGTTGAAAACATATTTTGTTCCGGAATAAACTGTGTGCCCTTAATGCCCATCTTCATAAAGGTGGTACATCATTGCCTTCAGTTGATTGGGCATTCTTTCTCCAAAACCTAGCATTCGGTCTGCACTGAAACTAACTAAAAAATAATAAAATAATCACATCCATTTCCTGGTTGTACCATCATGCACAGATGCAAAGGTAAGCTTTCAACTGAGGTTCTGAATTATGACACATCATCTCTGTCACATCTGTCACATCATCATCACATTTATCTCTGAATTACTTTGTCTTGAGAAGTAGATATTTATCGTTTACATGTCAATTCAAGCACAATTATGGCATTTCTTGTGGTAATTAGTAGGAGCTAAATCAAGATATCCATAGCAATGTACAATTCTTTTCATTGTTTATGAAATGGCTACAAATACAATTTTACCACTGATATTTACAAGTGAAATCTCTGGATTTTGTCGTCCGTTGCAAATTTCGTGACTTGAAAGATAATGTGTAGTCCAAAACTATACAACTGTCACAAAGGTACTTACTGTATACAAACACAATCATGCCAAACATCCACATGCCTCAGTAGTGAGATTCACGTTTGCTGATGAGCTGCAAATAAATTAATTGTATTAATTATTGAAAACATGCAAAGCCAAGTGTCACATAACGGACGTGAGCATTCTTACTATCTGAGTTCATTAGAAATAAATTGAAACTGTCTTCTCATTATCGGCCACAATGTACTTTTAAGTAGGTAAATAACACTCGACCTTCTGATCTCTTACAACAATAACAACAACGAAATAATCGATGCCTTCTTCAAATAAGTATTGCCAAAGCGACCGATTCAGGCCAACCGATATTAAATTAGTAAGGCTATTAAACATGTAGCCATGATATATAGTTATTAGATCCCATTGATCCAAGATTGAGGATTAACATGGCAAATATGCAGACCTTGCTTTTGAAATGCCAGTCTTGCATCCCAAGTACCACGTTGTACGACTCCCCTTTGTTCTCGGTGCCTAAGGTTTGGTACCTCCCAATCTGTTGAGGGGAGGGGAGGTGAGGTGAAAGGGGGTTTAGTGTCGCTTAAAATATAGTGCCAGCATACTGAGATACCATGTCGTTGTTTATCATGAATACCCCACTCAGACACATTGTACTGTCTTCGAGCCGACCAGTCCTTGTTTAAGCCCCTTAATGTCGAGCGCCAGACAGGGCAACAACAAGTACCATCTTTAAACGTCTTTTGGGATCGAACCCCAGACCTTCCGCTCTCCGGGCGGACGCTCTACCACAAGACCACGGAGGCGGCCCCTAATCTGTTGACTGTCATTGGGAGATTACTCGGGCTTGTTGCTAGGAATACAGCCCTTCTGACAAACAGTGTAATGCAGAAGGCTGCAGTGTTGGGTCTTTACATTCTCCGAAAGGTACCTGGTGGATTTGACCAGCGCTTCCTGAGAGAAGTCCTAATAGAGATTACAGGTTAGAATGGGTCCCCAGTAACCTATGGTTGTCACGAACATGGATTCGATGGTAAGGTCAAGTGACTTGTGTTACGTGTCGACTTCCCGACTGTCACAATATGTTAACCAAGAAGATAATAATACCACATCCAGGCGCGCCATTTGGCTATCCTAAGAGAATAATACCACGGACCTAATTAACCTGGGTAGGAAACGCTACTGATAGCCTCTGGTCAACTCCGCCGCGCTACCGCACAATGTTTACCCCACTCTTCAAGGGACATTCTCTGTGGAACGTAGCTACATTGTTTTCGCCTAGAACCGAGATGGCGGACAAGAGAAAACGTGTGACATTTGACATTTCAAGTCGCTATCGCTTAATTACCCAATAAAGTCCTTAGTTACAAGGCTCAGTCGAAATATTGCTAACTTGACATTCCCGTGTGCGCATAACACCTGAAATACAATGTCAACAAATCTGTACAGAAGTACGCATATTAATCCTGTTTTTACACCAACTGGTTAAAATATATCTGCTCGATTTTTTATTTTTTTTTTCAAAATTTGCCTCAATATCGTTTACCTTAATTTCGGCTAATTTATGTGTGAACTAATCGCACCGTTATTTGACACAACCACGATCTAACGCCAATTGACGCCTTGAAACGAACCTTAGTTGCCACAGAACGGATACATATTTCATAAATACCATGCTTTGACTCGTTAAAAGTCATATTTGTCGCTGTTTGACTATTATATGTCATCGTAATGTTTTCGCAATCCACATAATAATATTTTAGCCTGAAGTAAGACTATTGAATTGTATTCACTACCAGAAGTATATTGTTCTCAAAATGTGGTGTGGTGTTCCTTTTTTGTTGATGGAGGCAGTGTAGTGAATCCACTCGTAACGACTCTATTATTTTATAATTTGTACCGGATGCCGGGGTAAGTCTACAGGGGTGTTCTAACTTTGCCAGTAGCTATTGTTCTAGTTTAATAGTCAGTAGCCCGTGATAATCCCTACAACAATGGGGATTAACACTATAGACTGTTTCACTTTCACTGACTGACTAAAGCCAGACTACAGCCTGTCTAGGTAGATATAACACACAAACATGTATGTAGTAGTATAGGTTTTTATTAATTATTAATTAAAAGTTACATTTATGTTCAGATGTACAAATTTTCAAGACAATCTAATACAATATAGCTTACCAAATTTATGTCTGGCTACAGCAAAATCACTTAGAGTCCGACAAGGTGAGATACAGCATCACCATGCTGCGAGCAGTCCCTTCTCTCTGTCTGGTTTGTCTTCAAGCGCTAGCTGGCGGTACTTCTTCTTCCTTGGTCTCAGTGTGCAACCGTTATGTAATTGCATGATGGTCACTTCTGTAAAGTTTTGTTCTTTCTTGATCATGTTGATGAACTAGTATACGTTCGGGTGGCAGGCAGCGAACTTCGACATCTTGGAATGCCAGTGCATTGTGTCTAGTCTTCTTGTCTTGACTCTGAACTTATGTCCACCATACACTAAACTCTGTCAACCTCGCAAATTAGGGATGAACTTAACGTTTACCTGTGCTTTTGCCATTTTGCAATACATTCTCAGATGATAGGAAAATACAATGAACACATTTTATTATTCAGACATGAGTGAACATCTTCAAGTTATCACCGCCTCTTTGGTCTAGTTGTAGAGCGTCCCCCAAGAGTGCGGAAGGTCATACCAGAAGACCTTTAAAGATGGCACTTGTTGTTACCCTGTCTGGCGCTCGGCTTTGAGGGGATAAAACAAGGATTTGTCGGTATACTATGTTTGAGTTGGGTATACATGTTAAACTGCGGCATGGTATCTCAGTGGGCTAGCACTATAAATCGGCATTAGTCCGGACTAGTACAAGCAAACACCGTCTCGTTTTCTTGTCTTGACTCTGAACTTATGTCCACCATACACTAAACTCTGTCCACCTCGCGAATTAGGGAAAACTTAACGTTTACCTGTGCTTTTGCCATTTTGCAATAAATTCTCAAATGGCAC